CGCAGCTGCCTCTGGAAGGCACCGAGAGGTACCTTTTTCGCGCAATGGTCAAAATCAAGGTTTTGTAACGCGAGCTGTGCCACAGTGAAATGGCACTAGCCGATGTATAATGTATTTGTCTCGTTGATATATGATATCGCAGTGATCGAGAACCAAACCTTCATTTGCAATACAACGCGCAATCCAGTGTGAACGGAGGTCTCTCAGAGCTGCATCTCAGTTCAGACATCGGCGGGGGAGGGGGGGGGGGGGGGAGCGCGCGGGGTCCCGCATCTAGCGGATAGCCGTGCACGACGTGTCCTGTGAACGCTCAGTGTCCGAATCCGCTGCTAGTCATTATTCGCTTCCAGCGTCCCCACACTGCCAGAGAACGCGCTGCCGTCACTTCTTCCAGAAGCGGAACAAGCCGGCGGCGGGCGTCGCCGTGACCGGGCCGGAGCGCTTCGCTTGCTTGGTGAGGACGCTGCCTGAGCCGCCCTCCGCCTTGCGCTTGCCGCCCGCCGCGTCGCCGGGCGTCCCCACCGCCGGCGTCGGCGCCTGCTTGGCCTCCGGCGCAGCAACGGAGCCGCCCTCTGGCGGGACCTCGGCCGCTGGCGGCTCCGCTGCCGCGTCCTTCTCAGCGACGGCGGCGGCCGACGGGGTGTCGACGGCTGGCTTCGCGCCGGCCGCGTCCTCCTCCTCCGCCTGTGCGGCGGCGTCCGCCGGCGGCATCTCACCTGTCGCCGAAGCGTCCCCTCCGGCAGCCTCCGCCATCTCGATATCGGCCACCGGTGCGGCAAGCGCGGGGGCGGGGTCGGTCGAGGCTTTTGGCGGCGGGCCGCAGAAGAAGCTCGAGCGCTTGGAGCCAAAGAGGACTTCGGCGAGGCGCTTGAGCAGGGTCTGCTGCCGCGCGACCAGCTGCTTGAGCGAGAGGGTAGCGAGGTGGGCGGGCAGCGACTCGGCGCCGTCGGCCAGAGGCTCGGTCCCGGCCGCGGCCCCTTCCCCTTCGAGCAGCGCCTCGGGGAGGAGGAAGGCGGGCAGCTTGCAGAGGGCCGACCAGTCCTCGGCGCCGATGGCCATCCCGCTCACCGCCGAGCGGAGCAGCAGCGCGCGATCGTGCTCGGCGGCCCACCAGCGCGCGGGCAGGCTGCCGCCCGAGCGGTTGCCGGTCGCTAGGCCTCGCTCCACCTCTTGCGGCAAGCGCAGCGTCGGTGGCGGCGTCGGTGGGGGCGTCGGCGCGTCCGACTCGAGCGGCGTCGCGTCCGCAGCGGTTGCGTGCGGAGCCGGCGGCGGCGTGGGCGAGACGAGCACCCGCGAGAGCGCGAGGGCGTGCACGAGTCTGGTGAGGTGAGTCACCTGTTGGAGGGGCCAGTCGGGCGGCGGACGGTGAGCGGGACTGCGGCGGTGGCCCGGGGTGCGGGCGGGCGGCTCACCGCGTTGCGCTCGAGGAAGGACGAGAACTTTGCGTCCTGCAGGAGCCCGCCCCACAGCTCGGCCTCCTCCGCCTCCTCCTCCTGCGGCATCCAGTCCGCCCAAAAGGTCGCGTCGAGCGGAGCCTCGCCGACGGCGGCACGCACCTGCGCGCGCAGCTGCTTGCTCGCCCCAGCCGCCCCGAGCAGCGAGAGGGTGTGGCGCAGCAGGCCGCGCGCAAAGCTGCGGCCTGCTGAGTCTTCCGCCTCGTGCCTCACCCCAACCGAGAGTGTCGCCTTGAGCGCTCGGTCGCGCTCCGCCTTGGACCAACGCCGCGGCGCGCCTCCGTCCTCGGGCTTGGACGCCGCGCGCTCCGCACGCGCCGCCTTGGTGGCCCGCCGGTCTGCGGCCGCCTCCGGCTCGAGCAGGTCGAGCAGGCACGTGTCGGGCTCGTCCGCCAGGAAGATGGCGGTGAGGGTGCGGCCGGCCGTGTTCTTTGCCAACCGCGCGAACTCGGTGCACGACACGACACGATGCGGCTCTCCCGCCTGCTCCGCCTCGTTGCCCGGCTCCTCCGACGCCTCTGCGCCGCCCGCGCCCTCCTCGTCCGCGCCGCCTGCGGCTGCAGCGCGCCTCTGCTCCTCGCGCTGCCGCCTCGCCGCCGCCTCGTCCAGCCGCACCCGCCCGTCGTCGAGGTACACGCCCTCCACCCGCAGCCCCTCGCCGCGGCGCGACTTGTACTGGAAGCAGACGACGCGCCTCCCCGCCGCCTCGCCCACCACGCGCCGCCCCGCCCGCCCGCCAAGCGCCGCCTCGCACGCGTCCAGCGCGTTCTCGCCGTGAAGCACGTAGTCGTCCTCCTCGTCCTCGTTGTCGTCGCTGTCGCCGACGGACGCGCGGCTCTTGCGCCGCCGCGCGCCGCGCTCGAGCGCCGCCTCGGGCTTACTGGCCGCCGCCTCGGGCATGAGCTTGGACCAGAACTCGGGGTCGTCCATCGCCGGGCCGGCGGCGTCGACCCCGTCGCTGGCAAAGGTCGCCTTGGAGAAGGCGCCGCCCGCCGTGCCGCCGCCAACCGTCACCTTCTGCGCGCGCGAGAGCAGCTGGTCGATGTCCGCCTCCACGAACGCCTTGGTCGCGGCGCGGCTCTCCTCGTCGTCGCGCAGCACGTCATACGCGCCAAAGCGCAGCATATCGGAGAGCTCCGCCGCGCTCGGCTCCGCCTCGCGTGCGCCGCCGCCGCCGCCGCCGCCGCCGCCGCCGCCGCCGCCGCCGAGAAGCGCGTGGTCGAGGGAGAGCTTGAGGCACGCGCGCTCGAACATCGCGCGCTCGTACGTCTTGTCGGTGATGAGGCGCAGCACCTTGACCTGCTGCGTCTGGCCGATCCGGTGGCAACGAGCCATCCCTTGGGCGTCGTTCTGCGGGTTCCAGTCGCTGTCGAAGAGGACCACCGTGTCGGCGGCGGTCAGGTTGATGCCCACGCCGCCGGCGCGGGTCGAGAGGAGGAAGAGGAACGCGTCGGCGCTGCCGCCGTTCTGGAAGCGGTCGATGCAGGCCTGCCGCTTGCCGCCCGCGACGGAGCCGTCGAGCCGCTCAAAGGGGAAGCGGCTGACGTGGCAGTAGTCCTCGATGAGGTCGAGCATGCGCGTCATCTGCGAGAAGATGAGCACCTTGCGCCCCTCGGCGCGCAGCTTCGGGAGCAGCTTGTGCAGCAGCACCATCTTGCCGGAGGCGTCGGTCAGCGCGGCGACGGCGGCGGCCGGGTCGCTCGGCAGCGGCGCGTCCTCCCGCTGGAGCAGCCGCGGGTGGTTGCACAACTTGCGCAAGTTCATGTGGATGTTGTTCATCGAAGGGCCCTTGCCGGCGCCGTCGGCCTGCGCGAGGAGCGACACGTTCTTGTCGAGGATCGCGCGGTAGAGCACCTTCTGCTCGCCGGTGAGCTCGACCCAGATGATCGTCTCCTCCTTGCACGGGATCTCGTCGCCGACCACGTCCTCCTTGACGCGGCGCAGCATCAGCGGCTGCAGGAGCGCCTGCATGCGCCGCACCTCCTCAGCCTCGCGCATCTCGCCAAACCCGCCCTCCGCCTCGGAGGCGCCGGCCAGCCGCTCCGGCTCGAGCAGCTGGAGGAGCGAGAAGAGCTCCGCCGCGGAGTTCTGCACGGGCGTGCCGGTGAGCAGCGTCAGCTGCTCATACGCCAACCGCTCGATCGACGCGCGCATCCGGCTCTTTGGGTTCTTGAGCCGGTGCGCCTCGTCGACGACGAGGTACTGCCACGGTACCGCGCCGATCGCACGCTCCTCGAGCAGCAGCGTCTCGTACGTCGTCACCACCGCGTGGAACCAGTACTCTTTGCGGCCGCTCCGGGCGCCGCGGCCCGCCGCCGCCTCCGCCGGCGCGGCGCTGCGCCACAGCCGCTTGAGCATCACCTTGCGGTCGTCGGCAGAGCCGTGCAGCACCAGCGTGCGCAGCGTCGTCCACGCGGCGAACTCGCGGCGCCAGTGGCCGATCGTGGAGAGGGGCGCGATGACGAGGAAGGGGCCGGCGAGGCCATGCGCGTGGTGCAGCTGGCTGAGGGTCGCAACCACCTGCGCTGTCTTACCGAGGCCCATCTCGTCGGCCAGCATCACGTTGCGCCGCGACCGCCACGCGTCGAGCATCCAGTTGACGCCCTCGAGCTGGTATGGCCGCAGCAGCCTGCCATTCTCGAACGCGGGCGACGCCTCAAGCCGCTCCATGCTCTTCGGACGCCCCGTCGCGCGCCCCGCCGGCGGAGGGACGCACGGCGTGCTGCGCGCCTGCTCAAAGGCAGCGAGTGCCTCGGCGTGGGGAGGCAGACTCGCCGTGTCCTCCCAGCTGCTCTGCGCGATGGGCAACCCCGCCCATTTGACGAGGAGTTCGCCGTCGCGCTCCGCGAGCACTTGCTCCACCCGCAGCAGCGCAGGATCGAGGAAGGCGGCCGCGCCTGCCACCGGCAGCCCCTCGGCGTTGGCGTCAGAGGGGGCGCTGTTCGCCGCGCCCGCCGCGCACTCGCCATCGGCGCCCGCTCCGCCCTCGGCTGCGGTGGCCTCGCCGCCGGCGGTGCTCTGCGGCGGCGGTCCGAGCGGCGGCGCCTCGCGCACGTACGCCTTGACGCGCACACCCATCTTCGGGTCCGAGCGGAGCAGCGACCCCTCCGCCTCCCAGCTAACGTGCAGGTAGGAGGCGCCGCGCCACTTGACGAGCAGCTGCGCCTGCGGCTTGCGACCCGGCTCCGCATACCAGCGGCGGCCGACAAAGGCCTCGACGGCGCGGCTAGCGGAGGGGTCGGCGAGGCCGTCGCCCTCGCCCTCACCCTCTTCACTCAGCAGCTCGCCGTCTTCCGCCTGCTCGGCCGCCTCCGCCGAGTCGAGCTGCAGCCGGAAGGCGCGCAGCGCCTCGCGCACCTCGCCCTCTTCGAGGTCCTCCTCGTCCCCGTCGTCGTGCTCCATGTGCCACAGCGCCGCCTCGCCCTCCTCGGGCGCCGCCGGCATCCACTTGCGGATGACTCCGTCGCTCGCGCCGCTCTCGAAGAAGCGGCGAGCGCACTTGCCGATCCACTTGTGTCCGGAGAGCCGCCACTCCTCGCTCGCGTCCGCGTCCGCCTCGGAACCGCCGCCGACCGATCCCACCGAGTCCGCGCCGTCGCTCTCCGACTCGCCGCTCTCGTCGCCGCTCTCCTCGCCGCTCGACTCCGCCGCCATACTCGACTCGGCCTCAGACTCGGAGGCGGAGCCCTCCTCGGCGTACTTGCGCCGGCCCGCCGCCGCCGAGCGGGAAGTGGCCGCGCAAGCGCGGGTCGAGACGGCGCGCCTGGCCGGCGCCGCAGCCTCGCTCTCCCCGCCATCGGAGCCCTCCTCGGAGCCCTCGTCGTCGTCGTCCGACGGCTCGACGTACCTGCGTACGCCGCGCGTGCGCCGGCCGCCAAGCTCCTCGCCGGGGTGCAGGCTGTCACGGAGCTCGTCGACCTCGCACGCAGGTGCGCGAGCGCGCGCGCGAGACCCTCCGGCGGCGCCCGCGCCGAGGCGCGACTTGCGGGTCGGTTCCCCGCGCAAGTGGCGGCCAACCTCGACCCACGAGTCGAGCCGCGTGGTGCGGCCGGGCGAGGTGAAGACCTTGTCCTGCGGCCGGCGGCCCTTGTCGAGCGTCCAGCCCGGAGGGAGCACCTTGGCGTTCGGGTCCCAATCGGCTGCCGTGGCCGGCTCCTCCGCAACCCGAACCTCGTTAGCCTCCTCCACCTCCTGCTCGTCACACTGGCCAAACTCGTCGCCCGCCTCGCCCGCCTCGCCAGCAGGTGGAGCGGCTGGCGAGGGCGTGGCGTCCGCCGGCGGGTCCTCCTCCGCCGCCACCACTGCTGCCGCCTCATCCACCTCCATCGCCTCTGCAGAGTCGGCGGGCGATGGCGCGTCCAGGGTGGTCGGGTCTGCGGGCGAGCGAACCGGCGCCTGGGACGACTCGGGCTCGTCCTCCACCGCCTCCTCCTCCTTCGCCGCAGCCTCCTGAGCAGCCGCCGCCGGTGCCGCCACTGGGGTGTCCGAGGCGGCCGCCAGGCGCGAGCCGAGACGTGGCAGTGGCTTTGCCGGCGCTGCTCCCTCGGGCGGCGAGTTGTAGGCGAAGGCTAGAAGCACGCTGCGCTGCCGCCCCCCAAAAAACTGCGACGTTTGCTCGTGCACCAGCGGTGGCTCAGACTTGGCGGGCTTGCACGGCGGCTTGGCGGGCTTGCACGGCGGCTTGGCGGGCTCAGACGGCGGCTTTGCGCAGGGCTCGCTTGCCTTGCCTCCCTTTCCAGGTTTGCTCTGCTGCGTGGACGGCTTTGCGAATGAAAAAGCGTCAAACGGAGAGCTGTTGGAGCCCGCCTCCTCACCACCGCCCCCCTTTTTTAACCGTTTGCGCGGTACCTTGCCGCCCTTGTCAGCATCAGGGCCGGCGTCGAGGAAGAGGTCGTCCATCGTGGCGGCCAAGAGCCGCTCGCAATACAGTTGGTGGAGTGGTCTCACTTCCCGCCGTACGCGCCGACGTTTTCTTTTTTCTTTTTGCCACAAACTCACAAGCAGAAAGCCCCCTTTCAAAGGCGAGACCGAAAAACCACTGTTGCCAACAACATGCCAAAAAACACGGTCCGCCGTCCCAAACTGTCGCTCCTCTCTCTCCAGGCCGGAGCGGGGCGCGCGGGGGTGTGCGGCGGGTGTTTGTTGATGTCTGTGTCCCGAGAGAGCGACGTGTCACGTGGTATCTGTCTGCTGCTGCTTGCTTGCTTGCATTTGTTTCATTCATACATCGAACGAAGGCTAGTTGCCTCGTTCTCTAAAAAACAAACAAGTTTCCTCGACCAACTGCAACGACCCCGGGCCATCCCTCGCGCCCCGGCCGCCGCCCTCCCGGCCGATCGGGAGAAGAAGAACAATGACGGCAACAAACAAACACACACACACACACACACACAATCTGGGCAGCACGCAAACAAATTACGTACGCGATCGTTTGTTGGCTTTCGTCTCTTGCAGCCAAAACTACGAGCCAATTCGAGACTTAGTCTGCAACTACGAGCCTATATTGAAGGCGATAACAAACTACGCCCCGAGCGGGTTGGCGCGCTTGGGTTTTCTGCCACCACGGATGGCAACTAATTCTACCAGACAACACACGTACTAGTCCTGCACACCGCTCGCCTGATATGAGGTACTGCGTGCTCGCCGTGGCGCTGGCCTCGGCCGCGGGAGATGATTGCCGCAAATTCTGCCTCGACGATGGCAAGGACTGGACGGTCAAGTGCGCCTGGTCGAAGTGCGCTGGATGCGGTGCTTGCGCCTCGCTGGCGATTGGCAACTGCAGGCCCTCATGCGCCACCAACACAAAGGGCTGGGACAAAAAGTGCGGCTGGTCGGACTGCGGTGGCTGCTCCGAGTGCACGGCGACGCCCCCGCCGCCTGCGCCGGCGCCCGGCAAATGCAAGGCCTCCTGCGCCACCAACACAAAGGGCTGGGACAAAAAGTGCGGCTGGTCGGAATGTGAAGGCTGTTCCGAGTGCACGGCGACGCCCCCGCCGCCTGCGCCGGCGCCCGGCAAATGCAAGTTCTCCTGCGCCACCAACACAAAGGGCTGGGACAAAAAGTGCGGCTGGTCGGAATGTGAAGGCTGCTTGGCGTGCACGTCACCTTCGGCGCCGCCCCCGCCGCCGTCACCCCCACCAAAGCTGTGCTCGACGGTGATCTCCTCAAACGCCCTCATCAAATGCTACGATTCGGCGCTCTTCGTGGGCTTCACTGCCGACGAGGCAGCTTGCAGGAGCAAATGCGAGGCGATGCCGTCGTGCAACGTCTACGCGGTGTGGACCACAAACTGGTGCCGGCTGACAGAGACGTGCAACAGCCTGCTCCCCATCGACACAGACGGGGACGGCACCCCCGATTTTGAAGACGACGACCCGGTCTCGCCCCCTGTGGACGTGGTGCAATGCGCCTCGGCGCCGGCGCCGAGTCCGCCGCCGGCTCCACCGCCGGCTCCACCGCCGCCGCCTGCGCTTCCGCCCAAACACTGCAACACGGTCGTCCTAGAGGGCGGGCTGGATATGTGCTTTGGCACACCCTTATTCAAGGGTTTTGTTTCCGATGAGGCGGCCTGCGCTCTACTCTGCGAGGCGCACGCGCTCTGCCATTTTTACTCCGCCTTCAGCACCGGCTGGTGCCGGTTGACTGCGAGCTGCGGGTTGGCCGAAGTCGACTCGGACGGTGATGGCATCCCCGACTCTTCCGACCCGGACTCGACCGTTGATTGGGTCAACGTCAAGTCGTGTGGGGCGCCGCCCTCGGCACCGATGCCGCCCTTGGCACCGCTTCTTTAGCCGCCCAGGCGCCGGGCGCTCCGGACCACACACAGCGGGCGTTTGTTCAGGTTGCGAGCCTTGGCAGGGGGGTTAGAGGATGCCGCCTTGTGTATTGTCCGTCCTCATGTCGGAGCGCTCTTCTTTGAAACAGAGAGCACTTTTTCTTTGACACCGTAGACGAAACACGAGACTTCCCCACCGAGACAAGGGCGGAGGGGCCCCAAGGGGCGTAGGGGCCGCGTCCGCCTCAAGTGTCCGAACCAGCGCTCGAGAACCAGCCGGAGGAGGGCAGCGACGGCGCGGAAGCGACGTCTCGCCGGTGCACCACGTAGCGCGATTTGTCGATGAGCGCCTCGTCAAACGAGTACGTGCACGCTCCCCCCGCGCGGCCACATGGTGAGACGGTGTTCCACACACACATTTCACACGCGTTTGCTTCTTTTCTTTTGCAAGTCGCTCACTACCACTACTACTACTACTCTACTACGTACACACTCACACGGCTATGAGCGTATCATCTCCGGTTGTCCCCGCCCGGTGCACCCAACCTTGCACGCCCGTAGCGCGCCTTACACCTGTTAGGGCCGACACATTGCGTGGCGCAGCTTCAGCGACCTCAAAGCGACGGTACTTGAAGTCGATTCCGAAGAAGTCCTCGAGCTTGTAATCGCCTCCCGTTCCTTCAATGGCGCCCTCGGCCTGGGCCTCAGTCGTCACTTCTCTTCCTTTGAAAGAGGTCTGCCTCCACCAAAGCTCTCTGTAATGGTCCTTCTTTCCATCAACCGCAAAGCTGTCACCGTCGAACGATTGTCCAATCAGGCCGTGCGGCGCGACCACCTTGCCCGTGCTGGGCTGCAGCGAGAGCGGGTCGCGTAGCGGTGTCAGCGAAAGGTCGATCTGCTTCTTCCCGGGCGTGGCCGAACGCCAAATAGGCCGCGACGTTGCATTGATCGCCCAGGCGGCAGTCGAAACGTGCAGAGTCTCGGCGGCTCCACTCTTGGTGGTGAAGATGGAGATGTCTTCGACCAGAAGTGCTGCCGCGTTGGCCTGGATCATCTTGGTTCCGCCAGGAAGGCCGTGGGCAACTGGCGTCGGCGGCTGATTTGGTGAAAACTCGATGCGCAACAAGCGGCCAGAGGCCTCGCAACGAAGCCGAAGGAAGACGTCAGTGACAAAAGTGCCGTGCACCTTGAGGTTGGGCGGCGACGCGAGGAAGAAGGCGCTGGCTTCGAAGAGCGCGTTTACTGCCAAGCCAGTGTGGTGGAGCATCGCGTAAACTGCGCCATCCTCGCCGCGGAAATCGGCTTCACCACCATGTGCAAAGTGCAAGTGCGGGTCGCCGTCCACTCCGCCCGGCTTGAGGGGCGGCAGCAATGGCGGAGCTGGGGAAGAAGGCGGAGGGGTGGGCGGCTTTGGCGGGTGCGGCGGCTTAGGTGACATCGGTGGCAGCGAGGGCGGCGAGGGCGGTGGCGGAGGCGGCGACGGTGGTAGTGGACTTGGCGACGGTGGTGGCGAGAAGGGAGGTGGTGATGGCGGGGGTGCGAAAGGGGGCGGGACTGGACGGATGCCTCGAGGCGGGTTCGGGAGTGGCGGCGGAGGCGAGGGCGGCGGCGGCGAGAGCGGGGGCGAGGGCGGCGGAGGCGTGGGAGGCGGAGGCGAGGGCGGCGGCGGCGAGGGCGGGGGCGAGGGCGGCGGAGGCGTGGGAGGCGGAGGCGAGGGCGGCGGAGGCGGCTTTTGCATCACGAAAAGGGTGACAAGTCCCAAACTCGGGTCAGAAGAAGGTGGCAGCGCTGGCGGTGCCACCGGCGGCGGCGGGGACGAAGTCGACTGTTGAAGCGCGCGACCAGCCGGAGCGCCGGCACACTCGCCTCTGGCCCCGCTGAGGAAGATACAGTCCGTGCTGTTGACGAGGACGGCGCAGATGTCCTCTGAGATGCTCTGCTTGCAGCAGCTTGCGTCGTCGATGGGCTTGATACCACTGATTGTCGCATCGATTGCATCCAGATAGCCTTCGATGGACTTGATATCAATGATTGGCTGCCACGAATTGCCTCCGAATTCTTCGTCGGGATCACACGAGGGCGGTGGCGGCGAGAGCGGCGAGGCGGGCGAGGGCGAGGGCGGCGGCAGCGAGGGTGGCGACGGCGACGGAGCCAGGCCGAGCGGGAAGGGAGACGGCGGTGGTGATGGCGGCGGCGGTGTGTTGATGACTTGCACCTCCACTATCAGGCGAAGACTGGGCGTGGTGCCGGGACAGATGAACTGTCCAAGAGCTATCTGAACATCTTCAGAGAGCGCAGAAATCTTTGCCTCCACTGTTGTCGCCCCCATCGTTGGTCTTAAATCCAGGGTGTTTGTCGAAAAGACAAGAGGCTCTCCTTCGGCGCATGATTCATCAAGCCTGCGGTCTGCGATCGGCGGCGGCGGAGGGGGAAGAGACAGTGATAGCGGCGATACTGGTGGTGGTGAACTTAAATCGGCGGCATCGGGGAGGCCGTCGCCGTCCGAGTCGGGGTCCCTGGCGTCGGGGACGCCGTCGCCGTCGCTGACAATGCTGCCTTCGCCCTCCTCGGCATCGGGGAGGCCGTCGCTGTCTGTGTCGGCAAAGTCTTCATTGGCGTCGGGAACGCCGTCGCCGTCGCTATCGAAACTGCCTTCACCCTCCTCGGCATCGGGGAGGCCGTCGCTGTCTGTGTCGGCAAAGTCTTCATTGGCGTCGGGGATGCCGTCGCCGTCGCTATCGATGCTCCCTTCACCCTCCTCGGCATCGGGGAGGCCGTCGCTGTCTGTGTCGGCAAGGCCTCCGTTGGCGTCGGGGAGGCCGTCGCCGTCCGAGTCGGTGTCCCTGGCATCGGGGATGCCGTCGCCGTCGGTGTCGATGCTGCCTTCGTTGGCGTCGGGGATGGCGTCGCCGTCCGAGTCGGTGTCCCTGGCGTCGGGGATGGCGTCGCCGTCGGTGTCGATGCTGCCTTCACCCTCCTCGGCATCGGGGAGGCCGTCGCTGTCTGTGTCGGCAAAGCCTTCGTTGACGTCGGGGAGGCCGTCGCCGTCCGAGTCGGTGTCCCTGGCATCAGGGATGCCGTCGCCGTCGCTATCGATGCTGCCTTCGTTGGCGTCGGGGATGGCGTCGCCGTCCGAGTCGGTGTCCCTGGCGTCGGGAACGCCGTCACCATCGCTGTCGATGCTGCCTTCACCCTCCTCGGCATCGGGGAAGCCGTCGCTGTCTGTGTCGGCAAGGCCTCCGTTGGCGTCGGGGAGGCCGTCGCCGTCCGAGTCGGTGTCCCTGGCGTCGGGGATGCCGTCGCCGTCGCTATCGATGCTGCCTTCGTTGGCGTCGGGGATGGCGTCGCCGTCCGAGTCGGTGTCCCTGGCGTCGGGAACGCCGTCACCGTCGCTGTCGATGCTGCCTTCGCCCTCCTCGGCATCGGGGAGGCCGTCGCTGTCTGTGTCGGCAAAGCCTTCGTTGGCGTCGGGGACGCCGTCGCTGTCTGTGTCGATGCTGCCTTCGCCCTCCTCGGCATCGGGGAGGCCGTCGCTGTCTGTGTCGGAAAGGCCTTCGTTGGCGTCGGGGATGGCGTCGCCGTCCGAGTCGGTGTCCTTGTGGTCGGGGACGCCGTCGCCGTCGCTATCGATGCCGCCGTCGCCCTCCTCGGCGTCGGGGAGGCCGTCGCTGTCTGTGTCGGAAAGGCCTTCGTTGGCGTCGGGAACGCCGTCACCATCGCTGTCGATACTGCCTTCACCCTCCTCGGCATCGGGGAGGCCGTCGCTGTCTGTGTCGGCAGATCCTTCATTGGCGTCGGGAACGCCGTCACCATCGCTGTCGATGCTGCCTTCGCCCTCCTCGGCAGGAGGGGCTCCGTCGCTGTCTGTGTCGGCAAGGCCTTCGTTGGCGTCGGGGATGCCGTCACCGTCCGAGTCGGTGTCCATGTGGTCGGGGACGCCGTCGCCGTCGCTATCGATGCTGCCGTCGCCCTCCTCGGCATCGAGGAGGCCGTCGCTGTCTGTGTCGGAAAGGCCTTCGTTGGCGTCGGGAACGCCGTCGCCATTGCTGTCGATGCTGCCTTCGCCCTCCTCGGCATCGGGGAGGCCGTCGCTGTTTGTGTCGGCAAAGCCTTCGTTGGCGTCGGGGATGCCGTCACCGTCCGAGTCGGTGTCCATGTGGTCGGGGACGCCGTCGCCGTCGCTATCGATGCTGCCGTCGCCCTCCTCGGCATCGAGGAGGCCGTCGCTGTCTGTGTCGGAAAGGCCTTCGTTGGCGTCGGGAACGCCGTCACCATCGCTGTCGATGCCGCCGTCGCCCTCCTCGGCATCGGGGAGGCCGTCGCTGTTTGTGTCGGCAAAGCCTTCGTTGGCGTCGGGGATGCCGTCACCGTCCGAGTCGGTGTCCTTGTGGTCGGGGACGCCGTCGCCGTCGCTATCGATGCCGCCGTCGCCCTCCTCGGCATCGGGGATGCCGTCGCTGTCTGTGTCGGAAAGGCCTGCGTTGGCGTCGGGAACGCCGTCACCATCGCTGTCGATGCTGCCTTCGCCCTCCTCGGCATCGGGGAGGCCGTCGCTGTCTGTGTCGGCAAAGCCTTCGTTGGCGTCGGGGATGCCGTCACCGTCCGAGTCGGTGTCCTTGTGGTCGGGGACGCCGTCGCCGTCGCTATCGATGCCGCCGTCGCCCTCCTCGGCGTCGGGGAGGCCGTCGCTGTCTGTGTCGGAAAGGCCTGCGTTGGCGTCGGGGATGCCGTCACCGTCCGAGTCGGTGTCCTTGTGGTCGGGCACGCCGTCGCCGTCGCTATCGATGCCGCCGTCGCCCTCCTCGGCATCGGGGAGGCCGTCGCTGTCTGTGTCGGAAAGGCCTGCGTTGGCGTCGGGGACGCCGTCGCTGTCTGTGTCGGAAAGGCCTTCGTTGGCGTCGGGGATGCCGTCACCGTCCGAGTCGGTGTCCTTGTGGTCGGGGACGCCGTCGCCGTCGCTATCGATGCCGCCGTCGCCCTCCTCGGCATCGGGGAGGCCGTCGCTGTCTGTGTCGGAAAGGCCTTCGTTGGCGTCGGGGATGCCGTCGCCGTCGCTATCGATGCCGCCGTCGCCCTCCTCGGCATCGGGGAG